CATCCTGATAAGTGAGATAAGTAACAGCCTATAGAAACATTAATTACATGAGAAACGAGCTCAACAACAATCATTTCACCTCGAACCAAAAATCCAATACCATATGCGCGAGGGATCTTCCGATCTGTTCATACCTGTAAACGAATCGGATCCGATATGCTGAGGAGAGAGAGAGAAACCGGCGTTGGTTCGTTTCTCTCTCTTAGTCTTAAAGTTCCGGCGAGTGTCCGCAGCTCCGGTGGTGGTGTTGAACTGTTGATAGGGTTTAAGAGGGGAAATGAAGAGGAGCGGTGGATCTCGAAAACAGAAAGGCCGAAGATTTATACTTATTTATATGTGTGTGTAAATGTGTGTGTGTGTGTGTGCTTGAGAGCAGCTAAAAATGGCCGTATAGGGAGTGTAGTCTTTGTTGGTGGTGGGCCGAGCCCCTCAACATTAATTTCTAACTTCGCTATCGCGCTAGGGTTGGTGTCTTGGTGATAAATGCCACTATTTTCCTTACTTTCAAGTGCAATTTAAACATGATGTTTTTTCAATATAAGATCTTGTTAAATTATTAAATCGGGACCTGAAAGTTTTTTTTCACTACTTATTCGGGACTTAAATGTTATAAAATATAAAATTAAGTCCTGGAATTAACAAAACTCATAACACCATTAACTTAAGAGTTAAAAAAAAAATTGGTGCTTACTCAGATAAAATAATAAATAAACATTTGCATAATATTTAAAAAAATAAGAAGAAAAGACGATAGCAAGAAAATCGAGCAAGAGCTTCATACTTTTCTTAATTTTCTCCAATAATCTCTTATTTTCCTTTTTTTTCATTTTTCATTTTTTTTTTCTTTGTAACAGATTTAGTGTTTTAAAAGTTTAAATTAACTCTCAATTTAATGGTGTTATGGGTTTTGTTATTTCTAGACTTAATTTAATAATTTTATAACGGTTATGTCCCGAATTGAGAAAAAAATCTTTCAGGCCACAATTTGATATTTTACCTATCTTTCAGACATTGTATTGAAAAAACTCCTTTAAACATTTTTGTCAATATTACCTTCTACTTAAAATAGTCTCCAGTAAATTACACTATTGTTAATATGATTCTTTTTTACACTTAAACTAGTTCTAACCCGTACATTTGTGTTATTTTGTAAAGATAAAACTCAAGCTGAATGAAGGAAAAATTGCTCTTCATTACTGCAAAAGGAGAGATACAAAGTTTTAAATATAGCATCATCTGCACATGCTCTTCTCGCACTCTCATATAAGTACCTCAGCTAATAAAAGTCCGACATGTGGTCAGAAAAGATTCCAATTGAAAAGATAAAATATTGCAAATATTATATAAAACGTGATAATTGGAGTACGCTTTTTACACGCCCTCCTCAAGTTTGGCATACGTGCGAGTCGTACATGCTAACTTGAACACTTGCTTTTGAAAAACTGAAGTTCCCAACGGCTTTATGAGGAGATCTGCGAGTTGATTCTGGGAGTACACATGACTTAGGTAAATAATCCTTCCTTCACCTTGTTTCTAACCAAATGACAATCGATGTCCAAATATTTTGTGCGTTCATGGAAAATAGGATTTTCAGCAATGTGTATGGCTGCTTAATTATCACACCATAGAGTGATATGGATTGGATTAGGCATCTGAAAAATCGACCCCTATGTTGTAAATCCATTGAAGCTCACAAACTGTGCTTGCTAGTGACCTTGACACTGTGTTTTTCTTTGTTTTCCATGAAATGAGTGATGCTCCAAGGAAAATGCCATAACCTGTGATTGATTTTGTTGTGTCTGGTCCCCAATCTGCATCACTGTAGCTAATGAGGTTAAATGTGGCCTTTGTTGAATAGAATAACCCTAATGAGGGTACCCCTTTCAGATACCTCATTATGTGTGCAACTGCATCTTAGTGGGCTTGTGTAGGCTTGTTCATGAATTGACTTAACTTTGCACTACAAAAGTTGTGTCTGGCCTTGTGAAATTTATGTACAACAGTTGTCCTATTAGCCTTCTGAATTTCTCTTGTTCCTGTAGCTCTTCACCTTCTTCATTCCATAGTTTGATTTCTTATGGTAATGGTGTAGAGGGTCAGCCTAAAACTTAGTCGGGTACTCAATCTCAATTGCGTATGGTGGAGGCCTCAGTTCGAGAACTCAATCAAGCCTTTGTACCAAAAAGGGCTAAGACAGTGGTAAACATGATCATTGCGTGGGACCAACCATCGTCGAGGTGAGCATATTTCAACCTTTGAAAAGAATCCCTGTCATTTCAGTGCCCTCTCGCAAGGCAGCTATTGAATCCAGAAAAAGGCATCAAAGACTTCTGCCCTCACGGGGAAAATCAATTGAGAATGTGGTGATTAATAGGTTGGTTTACAAGCCTTGAGTCATATTATGTCTAGGATGTCTAGGACATATTTCCTTGGGTTGAGGTAGATTCCATCTTCACTCCTTGCTTTCTCAATTTCAAGAAATATCTTGCATGCCCAATATCCTTGATGGTGAAGGTTTTGTCTAGGAAAAACTTAAGAGCCTTTAATTCTTATGTGTGTGTTCCTGTGATTAGAACATCATGCACATATACTAATAGCGCAAGAAACCCATTCTCATTATTTTTTGTGAAAAGATAGTGATCACATGATGATTGTTTCAACCCATAATTGACTAACTTTCTGCAAAATTGAGAGTTCCACTCCCTGGATGCTTGTTTTAGCCCATATAGGCTTTTCTTAAGGATGCATACATCTCCTGGTTTCCCTTTAGAGTAGCCATCAAGTAGTGACATATATACTTCTTTTGTCAATATCCCATGAAGAAAGGCATTGTTAATATCTAGTTGGTGCAATTCCCACCATTTTATTGCAGCAAGAGCAAACATCATTCTCACTGTTACAATTTTAGCCACTATTGGAAAACTATCAGTGTAGTCAACTCCATGTACTTGATGATACCCTTTAGCAACCAACCTTGCTTTGAATGTCTTAACATTTCCATCTGGATTTCTTTTTACCTTGAAAACCCATTTTGATCCAATTGCCCTTTTTCCCTTGGGGTAGTGTGGTGATTTCCCAGGTTTTGTTCAATTCCAAGGCTTTTAGTTCCTTTTCCATTGCATTGATCCATCTTTGATCCTTTGCAGCCTCTTTATAGTTCGTTGGCTTCCTTTATTCATCCACTTTAGATAAAAAAGAAAGATATAATTTTAAATTGTAATGATGCTTGATAGGGAAAAGTTTTGAGTGGATATAGAATGTGTAGTTTTACTTGGTTCTCCTTGTCTGTGTATTTAATGATATTGTTTTCTCTTGCAGAGTTTACCACAAAGTCTCTCATCCATGAAGATCGATGGCTAGTCCTTGATCTCTTACTCAGGGCCAAACGTTGAGATCTCTCTTCTCTTTCTGTTGTTTATGAAAACTGTGTTGGACTTAACTCTGTGGTGTGCATTTGATTTCTTCATTTGTTAAAAGTGTGTCCATTTTTTCTAGACTGTCATTTGCTAGCAATGGGACATCATCCTTTTGTGTTTCCTTCTCCTGATATGGGAAAATTATCTTCAAAAAAACAACACATCTCTGGATGTTATAATTCTGTGCTCCTCCATATCATATAGCTTGTATCATTTATGCCCTGCTACATAACATATGAAGATACAATTATTTTCTCTCTTCATGAATTTATCCTTTGTTGGGTGGACATTAGTAGCATATACCAAGCACCCAAACATCTTCATCTTTCCAAAGTCTGGTGTTATCCCATAGATCACTTCAAATGGTGTTTTCCATTTCAAAAATGAGCTTATTAGTCTGTTCATAATGTGAGTAGTTGTCAATATAGAGTATGACTAGAGTTCTAAGGGCACACTTGACTGGAACATGAGTGCTCTTGTCACTTCCAACATGTGCTTGTGTTTTCTTTCCACCACTCTATTTTGTTTGGGTGCATATGAACAAGTCTTTTGGTGCAGAATTCCATGTTCATGCAACATTCTTTGACATTCATGTCCTGTGAGTTTTG